AATATTGATACTTAAGCTACATTTGATTGCAATGCAAACATAAATATGTACACTGTATATTTATTCATGAATGTAAATACGGTTCGGATTTTAAATCATTTTTGGTTCATGAATGTAAATACGGTTCGGATTTTAAATCATTTTTGCACTCATTTTGTTTGTTTGAAATCGGTGCTAAGTGTGGGCCCCATCCTTAAATGCTCTAACTACCTTATGCTCCAATGCCTCAATTTTGGTTCAAAAATTGATCATCAAAAGAATACAAAATTGTATCCAAAATATAGGTGCAGTAATGCTTTTTTTTAAGAATACAAAAATGTCGGAACATACATTTTTTATCTGATAATCATTACTTTTTTACATGTCAAATAAATGCCCACAAACGCAAACCGCAATACATAAATACTCCAATTTAGCATTTGTATTACAAACAAACAGAGCCTTAGGTTCAATTTGGAAGAAGTACAAATACAAATATGTAAAGTGTAAAATCTTGTATTTTGTATTATTTTAAATATATTTGCAGTGTTGATAATGTCTAATGACCGATCTAACCTTAGTGCCAAACGTAGTCTTAATGTAAAAGCTCTTCTCATCTAAAAGTTCAAAATGATAGACAGTAGCTTCAATTCATCATCAAAAGATAATGGTATGATCACAGAGAACTTCAATGAGAACGATGGAGGTTACGAACAGAAAAATTGTAATAATCATTAGAAGTCATGCATGTGTAAGTTTTCCTCCATTCGAACGGAACAAAAATTACGCACAGAAAAATTAATTATAAATATATGATAGGAAACAATGATTAAAGGAACCAAATCTCAATTTGATAAGTTATGTGCCATTTTAACATTTATTTTTTTGAGAAATTTCACTAAAACATGGCATCCCTTTTTAAATTGCCTCTATTGATTAAAATAAAAAGGCTGTTAAAAAGTAGTTCCAATGCAATTGGACTTTATAAAGGATTTTTGTAAGTCCTGTACTTAAAGTGTTAGCTCTCGTTCCCTATGATCATATCGAAGTATTTTGATTTCTCACTAATAAATTAAAATAATTAAATTAATATCCAATAATGTTAATAATACAAAATCTATGTATTTAAAATTGACATGAAAACAAAACCATCATTCAATTTAGATGGCAAGTAAGTAATTAAATCATTACATTAAATGGGTCAGCCTATGGTGTCATAGTTAAATAATAAAAAATTAAAAATAAATAAAATTATAAAAAATAAAAAAACAAAAAAAGTGAAATTTTTTAAAACATCTCTAATATTATATATTTATCATATTAAAATTAAGCATGATAAATAAGAAAAAATATTTATTAATCATCAAAATGAAATACAAAATTTAAAAACTACCCAAAACAAAACCATTTTCCCACTCAAGTGGTGCATTAATGGTTCAACCTTTTAGCCCAAATGGGTAATGAGGAGGGGTGATTTGGCCCTCCAATGATATCACGACACGTGGCATTCCAGAATCGATGCATGACACCTTAGCGCCACGCAAGCAACGACTTTGGATACACCTCAGGCACACCTCACATGCCTTAATTATCATGGCACCACCTTAGTAGGGCCGACCTGCGGAGATCTTGACAAGGTCAGGTTAGCGATCTTAGGGGCGACCTCTCGCCACCGACCTAACTGAGGCCCAATTAGCGGCCTGCATGACATGGTGGCCGACCTCCATTACCTGTGGGTTATCGTCTCCGAATCCTCCTGGATCATGTCGCCTCATCGACGGAGTTGACTCCTGCCCCGCCTACTTTGGAGGCAACCAAATAAGCTCTATTGCTTTATGCAAAAGTAATCTCCGAGCGTGAAACCACCTCCGAACGAGGTAGACCAGTAAGCCACATCCTCCTGGAGATCTTGGATGCACTACGTCAAGTCCACGACAACCTATGCCTATATAAAGGTGTCCCATTGATCAGAGAAGGTATACGTGATTTATCTCTCACAATTCTCTAACTCTCTCACATTCTAGCTCTCTTAAAGCTCTTCGATGAGTTAAGCATCGAAGTGCCCATCCCAAGTACTCTGACTACTGTCTCTTTGCAACTCAGCCAACCAACCTAATCTACCTGACGCCCAAGCTGTCTTCCAATAGGAAGCACCAGATCGCACACCATCAAGTAAAATAATTTTTTTTTTAAAAGGTAAAAGCATAGAATAGAAAGTTAAACTAACTAGTAAAAAACACTATTTTCCATCTAAGTAGTGGTCAACGGCCCATAGGGGTCTACGTAGGTGAACCCAACTCGAGCCTAGATTGACTTAGATTGTGATTTAAGACAAGCTAGGTTTGGATTTTCGGTCCTTGGGTTTGGGTGGGTCCAAAAGTTTGGCCTTTTTCTATTTTTTATATTGGGACTGAACTTAGCCTTTAGGTAATTTGAGCCCAATCCAACTATATACAAATAGAGACATATTCGCATATATACATGCATAAACATATACATTTATGCCAAATTATAGTATGGGATGATTTAACAACATGGGCCCGGCCCCCAGTCCAAGCCCAGTCCAAGTGCATCAAGTTTCAGTACAATTAGGCCTGAATTAGACAGATTAGGCTTGAGCCTGAACCATAGGCCTAATTCTTAGGGTCAAACCTGGTTGAGCTTAAATTAGGCCTAACCCGCCCAACTTGTTATAGATGCAAATGGATCGGATCGTATTCAGATAGGGGTATATCTGAATCTTATCCAATAATGTTAATCCTATCTGATCAAATGATTTAATGGATCTCACAAAGATTAATTTGAATTCAAATCCGTCAAGGATGATGGATATCAGAATATGATTTGATTACCCATAAGTCTGTACGGTTTACAAATTATCAACAGGAAAAAAAAAGAAGTAAAAGTCTATACAAAGAAAAACAAAAACACAAACATTTTCTTCAACCATTTTTATTATATACGTTTTTATAAAACAACATAATATAAAAAACAAATTACAAAAATGCAATGATGTCATAATCATGTAATAAAGGGAGAGAAATCATAAAGAAAGGAATGATTTGAAAAGTTGAAAGGGGTTGGAATTGATATTCGGAAAGACCTTTGCATTCCAGGTCTTGAGTGCTTCAAGCCTTTTGACTCTATGTTAGACCCTGCTGTAATTTCTCAAGTGATTGATCTTATTATTCTTGAAACTAAGAGTGGGACAGACCAAGAATACGTAGTTTGTTCCAACCAATTGAAGCTGAAAAGATTTTGGAAATTGACCTCTCCTCTAATGATTGGGATGATGTGTTTGTATGGTTTGGGGATGCAAAAGGAAAATTTTTGGTTAAATCAGCTTACTACATATCCGAATCTTCCCTCAAAATGACAAGGATAAACTCATCCTGAATATAATAGAAAGTCTTGGAATCTGGTTTGGCAAGACCTTTCTGTGGTGGGGTTTGCTGAATGGCCTTACTGTTAATAGTAACTTGTTCAAGAGAGATGCTGTTAATTTTCCTGTGTTTAAGATGCTCTTGTAATGAATAAACAGTTATAAATGCTCTCTTTCATTGTGATAAAGCCAGGTACACCTGGCTGGGTTGGGTATTGGTGTAGGTATTAGACCTTCTATTGATGATAAGGAGCTTACTTTCAATGTCTGATTTGCTGGCAAAGTTATAGCAAAGTCCAATAAAAATCTTTTTGTTAAATAACTTAAATTAACTATTTGCTTGTGGGAAATTTAGAAAGACGGAAATCAGATTTATTTTGAGAAAGATGATTCTAATCCTTTGCCCTATAGCTTCCATTCACAGGTCTATAGAGGAGACATTTCAGAACTAGCAAGTGAAATCAGGAAAATGGGAGCTCCATAATCAGCCTCCAGATGTTGCCCCTAGATGGACCCCTCCAAAGAGGGGCTTTGCTAAGGTTAATGTTGATACTGGTTTTCGGAACAGTAGGAAAGCTTATTTTGGCTGTTTAATTAGGGATCACTTCGGCTATCGGTGGGGTGTTAAAGGTGGCTCATGCCATGCCACAAATCCGCTTGTTGCATAAGCCAAGGTCCTTTTTGAAGCTGTTAACTTGGTTGTGTCGAACGGTTTGCGTCATGTAGTTTTTAAATCTGATAATCAACTGTTAATTAAAAACCTCAACAGGGAATCAACTGATTTCCATCCAGACATTTGGTTTTTGTGTAAAAAACGTTCTGTCTGTCTTCAGGTAAAGGTTTCAAGTTCTCTTGGTCCTCTCGTCTGGCCAACTCAGCAGCCCATCTAGTGAATAAGAAAGTTCTTGGAAATTTTGAAGTGGCTGCCCTCCCAAGGTGGCTATCGGTTGCTGCTGTCACGAACAATTCAAATTTGAGTGCAGAAGATAGCGTTCAGCTTTTATTTTCTTCTTAGTTGTTCACTTGTTTGGCTTTTTAATAAAAATGCTTAATTACCAAAAAAAAAATTCTAGCCCTATCCTTCAAGTTGTATTTCGCTTGAAAGAAAAGGTAGGGAAGGGAAGGGAAAGGTAGGAAAACCTATAACTTATAAAATGGCTCATGGAAACCATTACAGTTATGAGTTATGACCACCAACATGACGGAAGGAATGTATGTTAAAAATAGAAGTGTCTAGAGGTATAAAAAATTCGGCAAATTAGAGACAACGTTAGACAAGTGAAGGGGAGTTTAAGATAATAACCCGTAAGATATTTATGGTTGCATAAACCAAACTCCAGACAGGCAGACAGTATACCCAAATTCAATTGCTCCAGCATCTCCCACAAAGTAATGAGTCAAGGAAATTACTGTTCCTGCCGCATCATGAGAGACTCAAAATGTTGAGACCAAAGAGAAACAGTGAGGACGCATTTATAGAACAAATTCTGAGAAGACGAGGCTCTTTTGGCTCAGTTTGGAAGGAGTACAAATACAAATATGCACAGTACAAAACCTTACATTTTATTTGTACTCTACAAATTTGTATTTGTACACCTTCCAAACTGAGCCTTTAGTACACATTTGCATTCTCCAATAATTTCTCTCTTAACGAGTTTATCCAATTTGGAGCTTATAAAGAATGGCAAGTCAGGTGACAAATGATTTCTGAGACATTGGCTAGGAAAAAAATGAAAAAGAAAAGACAATGCCAGCTTAGCTGGCTCACTTGGAAAGTCCATAAACTTGACAAGCCTATGATAACTAAAAACACTCAATAGATGAAGTCACTTGGGAGCGTCATATCACATTTTATAAGCATAGCTCAAATAAGAAGAGATTACCCATTCTTGCCAATGAGGTGTGGAGAATCCAAGACTGAGTCCACCCTGTAGCAAACTGCAGGGGAAAATGATGTTGATCTAATGCCTCGCATTAATCAAGTTCCTAATAACATATGGCAAAATGCCTCCATGATCGAAATATGCCAGTTCCACCTGCATCAAAAGAGAACATTGCAGCCAAGTGAAAATTGAACGAAAATAACTGAATCTTACTGACAGGAGAAGCTTGATAGTGTTGTTAGTCTACCTCTGTATCGAAACGGACTGTGCACGTGAATGATTTTCCGCTGTCTGTCACAACAGTGACATCCTGACCAGGCCTTATTTCACTTACATTACTTGGTAGGTTGATGCTGTAGCGCTCATGCCCAGTCAAGCCAAGAGTCTCAGCATCTTCTCCAGGCTTGAAACACAGTGGAATGATGCCCATTCCCACAAGGTTACTGCGATGAATCCGCTCAAAGCTTTTGGCAATCACTGCTTTAACACCCTGAGTTGAATGGCAATTTAATGCATTATTATCAAATCTAGACGTGAGCTAGAAAACAGGAAAAACAGAGAAGAGGCACTTTTATAGATATACCAAAAGCATTGGGCCCTTGGCAGCCCAATCACGAGAGCTCCCACTTCCATACTCAGCTCCAGCCAAAATAATGGTATCTTGTCCCTCACTCTTGTACCTCTGTTGAAGGGGAAAAGAAAATAAAGATTTGTAAATAATAATACAATTCAATTACAAGCCAATAATTAAGCCAGGGAACTTGATTCGTCATTCATGAAAAGCACAATCACATACGACGGATGTAAATATCCTGATCTTTATCAATACAATAAAATAAAATGAAAAGATCAAATGGCCTCATTGTACAATCTATGACATCTTTTAAAGGGTCACAAGAATCTGGCAAACAGTGGATCATCACAAATGTCCATTCTGGTGTGCTTTGACAACATGGAAGATATATCAAGTATGCCTATCCAAATTGACATCCATTCCAACATGTTCACCAGGATGGCACAACATGTCTACATGGGTGTATCCTGTATTTTAGATATTACAGCTAGCACATCATGATACTACTAATCCATAGGCATCTTGTTGCTACAAATCATATGAAATGTGAAAGTAGGATGAGAAGTTATTACCATGGCAGCATCAAACACAGATATTTTCTCCCCCGTGGGAATGTGAATTGTTTTAGGTCCAACTTCTCCCTTCAATAGTTTGTTTACAAGGCGAATATTGGCAAAAGTACCTCTAGCCATCACCTCATCATTACCACGACGACTGCCATAAGAATTGAAGTCTCTCCTATCAACCCCCCGTTCCATGAGGTACTTGGCTGCAGGACTGTCTTTGTGGATGCTGCCAGCAGGTGAGATGTGATCAGTTGTGATGCTGTCACCAAAATTGAGCAAGCAGTAGGCATCCTTCACTCCATGTGGGCCAGGAGGGGACATTGTCATGTCCTTAAAATAAGGAGGCTCATGAATATAAGTTGATGATGGATCCCATGTATAAAGAGTGCTTGATGGCACAGATAACAGATTCCACATTGGATTTCCTTTCGTGATTGCTTCATATGTAGCCTTAAACATGTCTGGCAAGACACTAGATTGCACAACCTGAGGAAAAATACAAAATAAATGGGATAAATGCTCCAATCAATGATTAGATACTGCTAAATTTCATATCAATGAACTTTGGCTAGCTCACATTTGCTACTTCTTCACTCGATGGCCAGATATCCCTGAAGAATACTTTCTTCCCATCCTTTCCCGTCCCTATAGGTTCTGTCTCAAAATCAATATCAACCTGCAAAAAATTCCACATAAGTTACAGGCCAATAGCAACCACTGCCACTACAACAACAACAACAACAAAATGAAGATGGAACTCATCAGACTTCTACCCAAGTAGTTAATCATAAAAGAAGTTGCACATCAGCAAAAAAAAAAAGAAAATGTCAGTTAGCTAATCAATTAGATGGAGTAATGCACACATAGACAAATATACACTTGTGTGCATCTAAACTGACATTAATAGGAGACATGTATAAAAATCCAATTGGTAGACCAAAGATGTATCGGTAAATTATGAAAAATGATTCAATCAATATACCAAATAGGCTGCTTCAAGTTGTTAATAGATAGATCTTCTAATCAATTATCCAAAAGGAGTTTGTAAGGCTCTGTTTGGATAAGCTTTTGTTTTTTAGCTTTGGGCTGTGAAAAATAAAATTGAGCCAAAAAAGTGTCTTGAGCATTTGGTAAGAAATGCTTTAGAAACACCATAATCTGAAGCCAAAACATTCTTAAGCTCTGGAGCACAAAGCCTATATTGGGGCTTTGTGCCTTTTGATTTTGAAGGCACAAATCCTGAAGTTTATCTAAACGGAACCTTAATATGTAAAAAAATAAAAAAAAAACTGGGGGGACTAGATATTATTATAGGCCGCCATTGGAAACCCTATAGATACATTCTTCTCAAAACATAAGGAAGAATACAGATATAATTATCCTCCTATATGGCATGCTAATAGCCTAATACTGTGTCTGTGCCTTTTTTCTAGGTTTTTAAACCACTTAATGTATTTGAATACTCATATCCCATCAAATGAAATGAAGAGTCTAGTATCTGCAAAGCACCATACAGTAATAATATTCATTAAAATTGCAAACTACATGTTTTTGGTGGCAACCCCAAACAGTGGAAATTGCTAGGTGTTAAGATTAATACTGTATTGAAATAATATCTGGTATCAACATTGGCATTTTCTCATCTTGAGACAGGTAGACTGCTCATGTTTAGGTACCCAAGTATCATAATATATAAATTTATCATGTATGAATTTCAATCACATACCGTGCCAGCAAGAGCATATGCCACCACAAGGGGAGGGGAAGCAAGATAGTTTGCCCTTGTTAGGGGATGCACACGGCCCTCAAAATTCCTATTTCCAGACAAGACAGCCGCAGCAACTATGTCTGAAATTTAACCAAAAAGAAAGACCATATTTGAGAAAGCATATACTTTATTGATTGGTAATTTGAGAAAATATACTCAGAGAGGAGGGGGAAAGAAAATTTTTATTAAAGCAGTTTTAAAGAGAAAATAAAGTGACAGTTTACCATTTTCAGATATTGCTGATGCCACTGACTCATCAATGTCTCCGGAATTCCCAATGCATGTAGTGCATCCATAACCAACAATATGAAAACCTAGCTGATTCAAATGATTTTGCAATCCACTGCAAAAGGCAAGACCCGGATTAGGGCTATATCACTGGAAGAACAAAAACGCAATAGAGCATTTGTAAACTCAAATAGAGGACCTCTTTTGCAAATATTTAGTAACAACTCCAGAACCTGGAGCAAGACTTGTTTTGATCCATGGCTTAACCTGATATAGAACAAATTGAAGATTAGAACCACAGCAGACTACTAGGAAAAAGAATGAAGAGACATTCCAAAACTGAAGATGACTTTAATAACTCATTCAATTAAGGTTTCAACAGGCCTCTGATCCATTTTATTTGTAGTTTTAACTCTTAACAACTTACATGCAGAGGGAACATAGATTATTATGTGATTATCTAACTACCTAATATCAAAAGCAATGTTAGGCAAGTAGTTACATGATTACATCCTGATTTCTCAAGGATAATTTTGCATATCCAAATCAGTGATGTTATTATTTATTCTTCTCAATATACTTGTCCATGACAATAAATACTTTATTATTTGTTAGTATAATAATAGACTTTCCAGATAAATTTGTGTAACAATTTTGCCCTGAAAGAAAATAGCAAAGTATATGCTATAATTTATAATGTTCCCCCAGCCTTATCTCTTTAGACTCTAAAAGTCCACCCTTTTGTTCCACCATTTGTAATGAATAATTATGATTTAGTTTGCAGTTTTTAAAAAAAAAGGATTATGAAGTTCTCCATGTGTATTGCATGTGGAGGGCTTGACTGGAATAGTACAGATGAGATCAAGAATTTTCGATTTCAAGTGCCCATACATTCAACTTGGAGTAGAAGAAAAAGAATGAAGAGATTCTTATACAATTAATAAGAGATGAATGAAGACAAAATTAGGGTTATTTAGAATGGATTTAAAGGAATTACCAGAGGATAGAATTGAACACAAGAAAGGAAATAACTAAGACAAGGCTTTTACTACCATATAACAATGGTGCATGGTACACCTCATGGCAACATCTAATAAGATGCATTACATCTCGGAACTAGTCATAAATGTTTCATCTGGTTGGGCTCCCAACTGAAAATATGCTAGTGCATATTTCCCCTAACAACAGAATCAGATACCATCAATCTTATCAAAGCATCAACTAATCATTAACTAGTCAATTGAGTGACATACTAACTGCATCAGAATCTAGTTGGTCAGTATCCATATAAGGTTACCTTGGAAAACTAAACATCATCTAGGTTAGTTGACTTACTTGGGCACAAAGCTATTTTCAATCTTTATTTGTTTGCATTTATCTCCAGTTGTTTAATGGCACATGGTTCAGTGATGGTAATATAAAATAAAAATCAAAAAACAAAACAAATGAACAAAAGTTCTTTAGGTCTTCTTCCATTTGGTGATGCACTGGTGTGGAAATTGCCACAAATAGTCAAGGTAGTACTACATTTGTGCAGCTAAAATGACGTTGATGCAGCTTGCAGTTCTCTAACAAAATGCAAGAAGAGGAAAACAAAGACAAGAAAGTAACCTCCAGTCCTAGTTCGCAAGCCTTCTTTGCAACCAAAGCAGCACCAAGCATCACACTAGGATTTGAAGTATTGGTACAACTGGTGATGGCTGCTATGACAACATCACCATGTTTAAGCTGTGCCGGTGTTTCATGGAATGAGAACTCCACAACTTTACTTTGAGAATCTTTAGGTATTGCAAACCCCTGTAATATCATGTGAAGAATGTAAGCATGTAAACACACAGACAATACTTAAATACACTACAAAGATCTTTTGCATCTAAATTTTGGAGATGTTAATTGCTCTAGCTCAGGCTTCTACTAGTTAGTGAGGGAATACATTAAAGCATTGGGATTCAGGCATTTACCCACCCCATTCCCTTTTCTGATATATTGATAAGAAAGAAACTAATCATAGTGGTAAGGAAAATATTGAATAAGGGTATGCTTGGGATTTTGTAATTGCTTCTCATCTTCTAAATAAGGGTATGCCTGTATATCAAAAAATATGCTTGCCAACTTCAGAATAGGCCCAGCATGGAAATTGCAATCAGAATCAAGGCCCCTAATCCCATAGCCATGATAGCCAATCTCAGCCTTTTTTTTCTTATTCATTTTTTAATATGAAACTTCTTACCTTGAATCCAACTTTGTTATCTAAGCAAGCATGCCAGTCCACTTTCATTTCTTTCAAGGGAACTCGATCATGAGGCCTGCAACAAGTACAGCTTTCAGAAGCTGCATCAAAAAAGAAGAGGAAAGGCCGAAGAAATGGCTGAACACAGGGAAACTCTCCTAATATAGCCCACAAAAGAAGTGTATCTCAGAAAAAGCATCTTGAAATTCTTACCTCTTTGGTCCTGATACACAGGGTTCCACCTCCTCAAGATTCAATTCCAGATAAGAGGAGTACACCCGCTCAGTCTGGGGCTGAATTCAGAAAACAAGATTACACTCAGAACCCTTTTACCTTGCTTAATAAGAATATGTAGATGGGAAATTGAACAAGGGGCAAAATTTTACCTGGCTGTAATCCACAAACATCTTATTAGCCCTTAGATAGGACTCTATCATAGAAACCTGCATTTTTCAAAAGATTTAGTGCACATAAAAAGTGTCACCACATACAAAGAGCATACTTTTAATTAACCACTCACAGTTTCATCACTTCTGCCTGTCAGTTTCAAGTACTGGAGAGTGACATGATCCACAGGGAAGAAACCCATGGTTGCACCATACTCAGGAGACATGTTCGCAATTGTGGCCCTATCAGCTAATGACAGTTCACTCATCCCTTCCCCTGCACAAAAGGATAAATTACTTTGTTAGTTCACGTAGTAATAAATACAGATATATAGGAGTTAAAAGAAGATGCTAAAAGGAAGTCGTGTAAACTATAATCATGTTTACCATAGAACTCCACAAATTTGCCAACAACTCCATGCTTCCGAAGCATTTGGGTTACTGTCAGAACCAAATCAGTGGCTGTTACACCACTCCTTAACTTTCCTGATAATTTAAATCCAACAACACCGGGAAGAACCATGCTCATGGGCTGTAAGTTGAAGAAAATGCACAGATTAAGACACATCCAATAGAATTTTTAGTTTTACATATTGCATAATGAGTGTGATACCCCAATAAAATTCCAACTTGCTTCTCGTAACTCCCTAAAACAGAATTACATTCGTAACATTTCTATGCTTGGCAAGTCAACCAGTGGAAGAAAGTGCTTGGTGATTAGCATTATAGCTGAAGTGGCAATTTTGATTAGTAAACAATAAAATAAAAATCCACCGCAAACTCATTTACCTGACCAAGCATTGCAGCTTCTGCTTCAATTCCTCCAACTCCCCAGCCAGCAACACCCAAACCATCTATCATGGTTGTGTGCGAATCAGTTCCAACTACACTATCGGGGTAAAGTATTCCATCTGTATTAAACACAACGCGTCCAAGGTACTCCAGGTTCACCTAGACATCAAAATTTATGAACTTATTTTATTGGCAAAGACGAGTGGAAATCATGAAGAGATAACCTAAATTGATATAAAAATCTATCAATAATGTATTACCTGATGAACAATCCCAGAGCCTGGAGGAACAACAAGCATATTGTGAAATGCACTAGATCCCCACTTCAAGAAGCCAAATCTTTCATTGTTGCGCTGGAACTCAAGTTCCATATTGGCCTGTACTGCATTTTCTGATCTTGCCACATCAACCTGCACTGAGTGATCGATGACAAGATCTACAGGAACCTGCGTGCGTGACAATTTCTTGTCTCAGTTTTATTTGTCAAGTACATAGAGATACATGTTGAAGCAGTCACCACACTGTGCACGTACTCGAATCCGGATAAAGCAGAAAAATAAAAGAGCTACTAACGATTTACACTTTCTAAGTACAATCATAGTCGATAGGAACAAGAGAAATGCCACTTACCAACGGGTTAATTTTGTCCGGGTCGCTGCCAAGCCTATTCATTGCATCTCTCATGCACGCAAGATCAACAACAGCCGGAACACCAGTAAAATCCTGACATTAGAACCAAAATAAACAGTAATCAGAATTAAAAAAAAAAAAAAAAAACGAGGTGAAAAGGAGATGGAGAAACCACATCCTACGAATCCATATAAGATAAAATTTGCAAGTATTCACCTGCAGAAGCACACGTGCAGGCTTGAACGGAATCTCAACCTGTTTGGGAGAAGTATTCTTCCAATCAAGGATTTTCTCTACATCCTTCTCCTTAACTTGAAACTCGTCACAATTACGAATCGCTGACTCCAGAAGGATCCTAATGGAGTAGGGAAGCTTGTCTGAAACAAGACCAATTCGAGGTAAAGTCGAAACTTGAAGAACTTCTTTGCTAAATCGAATCTACTCGTCAATCCTACAAAATTGATAGAAGAGACAAAAAGAAAAAGAACAACTCACCGATCCTCGGATCATTGAGAGCAGGCAAGCTGTAGTACTTCCCGAATTCACCACCACCAGGTTTCTCGAGTGTCTTCAAGATACTCTCGTAAACATTCCGAGTAGCTATAGAACAGATCAACCAATCAGCAACTTAGAGAAGCAGCTCAATAATCAAATAAATCAGATAACAACAATGGAGACGAGAAAAAGGAGGAAAGTTTTTTTTTTCTTTTCAAGGAAAGACTTTACTCACCCATAGTGGCGATCCGCCTTTCGAATCGTTCGTTCGACGACGCAGACGAAGATCGGAGAAGAGCTCTGTGACTGAGAGGTGATCTCCAGTCGGAGAAATGACGATAAGGAGAACAGGATGGAGACTTAGGGCTAGAAATGGGATTTGGTGAATTGGAAGGAAGAAAGAATGGGGGGGGGGTGGTAAGATAGAATTAGTAGGTGGGGAGCTTGAGTTGTTGCAGGAGCGGAGAAAATGAGACGAGTAGAAGGACGAATGCGAGAGAAAAGCTCTAATCACATTGGCTGATGCGGTTAACACATCTCTTACACACTTTTTTGGGTAAATTGCTTAAACATTCCTGAAGTTTTTGACAGTTTGTAAAAGTAAACCCTCCCCTGAAATTGATAACTACAATTATCTCCCTAAACTTTTTAATAGTTGCAATTAGACCCTTTCTGCTATAATAATCATTTAAAATAAAATATAAATGCAAATAGGTTGCCTTTGAAAACAATGTAAATAAAATATAAAGTTGGGTTAATTTTTGCATTGATAAATTTATTTTCTTAGTTGTAATACATGCAAATACAAATAAATATACTTTTTTCTAACATTAACTACTTTGAATGCAAATTTACTTCTTTTTTTTCGATGTAAAATTATTTCTCGTTTTAGATGTAATCATGCCTTGAAAATTGTGTTATTTGTTATTTTCATTATACACGTTTTCTTGCCAAACACTAATCTGGCATTTGCACCATTTGCAAACATGTCTTTCATAATAGGTAGGAAAATATCTAAATTATCCATTCAGTTACTATTAAGGTTGGTTTTTAGAGAAAAAATAATACAAATTTTATGAATAATATAGTTTAAAGTTATAGAGCTTTACCATTGAGGATTGATACGGACAAATTTGAAAAGTAAATCAAATTCATAAACATAAAAAAGAGATTGAAAGAACTTGCGGTAGCATTGATATAAAAAGAAAATTTGCAAAATAAACATTTTGTGCTTTTGATAAAAATTAACTGTATGAATTGTTTGGACATTTTACACCTCTTGTTAGAAGATTGTAAGAGAGGCTTTCTTGTAATTTGTCACAAAAAGGGGTCTACTTTAGTTTAAAGCAATTTACAAATACAAACTTCATAGAAGCTTAATTTGGAAAGAGTATAAATATAAATGTGTATAGTATAAATGCATACAAAACAATGTTTTCAAAACGAGCTTAGACCAGACGGTCAGATTGGAAAATCGGGAATCAGTTTCATTTTACTCCAAAAATCATTGATTTGGTGTTGAACTATTCGACCCATAAATGGTTTTTGGTTTTTTTAATTTGTTTATTTTTTCTGTCAAAATGGGCTGTCTATTCCGATCGAACAATCAGACCATTCAACACAAGAACTAGACCCAAAATGATTTCCTATCCGGTTCAATTTTAAAAACTTTGATACGAAATATAAGATTTTATACGTTACATATTTATATTTGCACTCCTTCTAAATTACTTATAAATTAGCAGAAAGGTTAATTTGGGGGGCGATTGCATTAGTTTAAATTTTTTATTTTTAACACATGAGGAAAGGGCCAATGGAGTGTGTGCATGTCTGAATTGATTATTGATACCTTGATTTTATTTTCCTTTGTGGGGCTACTGAATATATTCATGATAAGGACCGCGCAGACGTGACGAATCGGGTGACGATGATTTTGAACTTTGAATCCATGTGGGGTCTGGGGAGAGAAAGAGATAGGGGGGGACCACGTGGTCCGCTCAAAACTAAATACTTTTCTGAGAGGGAGAGAGAGGCGGACTAGACGGTCAGCGCCGCCTCGTTCAGGTTTTCGTATATTGCTTTCCTTTCGCTTCCTTCCACCAACAATCGGAGATCGGAAGACACGTTGTGCGGGTCCCATGTTTATTCTTATCCAACGGTTTCGAGATGATCTGCTCAATGCCCTAGAATCAGGGCTCTGGTTTACGGTGTGAAAAAAATGTATTACTTTAAAGAACACGTGTCATAGGATCAAACACTGAGTGGTCCAAACTCCAAAGGCCCGAGCGAATCTGATGGAATGTCCGACAGTTGATTGATGCTGGTTCGGACGGAGTACAGACTCCGGTGATTCCAATTTCCAAGTTGTTAATCCGACGAGTGAACCAGGGAAAAGATAAGAAACATACCTTTTGGTTTCAGATGAGATATTGAGATTATGAGAAGATCAAAGCTGTTTTATTTTCTATTTTCTACTATGGAAGAAAGAAACTGAGCATCTTGTAAACCGGGGGCAACCCGAACCGGGCGCCCATAATTACTCTTACAAATAATAATAACTAGTATTCACGATTTGGTTTGGTATGAAAATTTGTTTCAAATCATGCCATTTTATTAAAGGTTTGGTGCAATTTTTTATACGGATTGGTCCATTGTATTGGGTTTAATCCAATTAGACAGTCCAAACTATATATATATATATGTGCTTGAATAAATAATAAATATTATCTTTTAGTTACTATAAAATCATTGAATCATTATAATTGGTATGCTATTAAACATCAATTTGGTTAGAATGAGAGTATTTTTAGAGTTTATTTTATTATATATTATATATTATAATATTAATATGATATATATTTTGATTCATGGTTTATGGTTTAATTTGATTTCTAAAATTCAGAAAACTGAACCAAACCACTCTAAATCTGTTCCAAATCGAAGAGTAAATCACAGTTTGGTTCGATTCAATTTGATGGTTTAGATAAGGTGACCCAACCAAAAAGCAGTACAAGTTTGTTTTAGGTGTAAATTCAATTTTATATCGATAGAAAAATATGAACGGATTTAGTGATGAAGTGAAATTGGAACCAATTGCTTTTGAATATTTACACCAATCATGTTTGATTGTCAAGTGTAAATTTTGATGCTTTTTTTGGTCAGAATTTGGAATAGACATCGGTGTAAATTTCCAACCATACACCAATATTATGCAATTCGCAACATTCCTATATGATGCAACAATCATGATCCAACGATTCTCAATTTGGACTACAACCTTGAGCATCTTGAGCTACTGGCTAATGAGTATGTCCAAATATAGTTCGAATAGGCTTTTAGCCTATAACCTGTAGTCTGTAACTTTAGCTTGCTACAACCTGTAGCTTGTAGCAAATGCATCATTGCTCACCATTTGATGCGTCTACTAACCTGTAGCCTATCGACCCTGGCTCTTTTCTCGATGCTTCGCTTCATAGTCTGCTCTACTACAAAGCACCAAACGAGAGTGAGAGAGAAAGAGTAGTGGAACAAAGATCGAAAAAATGGCGAAGGAATATAAGATGAGGCGGGAGGACGTGAAAGCTATCGGGGCAGAGGTGTCTAAGAGTCTATTTGAGCAACAAGCAGGTGGTGTGGCTCACAGTGCACTTTACCTTTCTCTCCGACAACCATGACTGCCAGGGGATTTATTTTAGTGGCTGCCATCACTTCACCTTGGATGCTAAAAAGAAGCTCGAAGCTTCTGCTGTCGATGTGGCCAAGGTCGTTGCCAGGAAGGCCGACCTTGCCACCACCAAGTGAGAGAGATCTGAGAGTGGTGTCAACGAGAGAGAAACCACAAGCAAGGTAGAGGTTGAGATGGAGCATATGGAAAAATGGAGAAGAGAGATAGAGTGAGAGGAATTTTACCCTAATGGTAGAAACAGGTAAGTTTTACATCGATAATTTTGATGTATTTTTTACATCAATTATCTATGTAAAAGTATTTAAAATGGAGTTTTAATCTGGTTTACCATGTAAATATGCACTTTATCCAAATGCTTGCAAAATCGATTCGAGGTATAAAGTTTTCCCGATTCAATTTTACACCTCAAACAAACGTGGCCTTAAGGAATGGATCGCATTTATTTTTCTCCTCAATTCCTATGAATGAGTGAATGGGTTATACATGGGCTCCACAGTCCACCAACGATACTTGTTGTGGGTATAGATGTGGATCCTGGATCAGGTCTAGGAATACGTGATTGTTTGTTACCCTCATCCCATGCATTTATTTTCTTTTTCTTTTCCCCATTTTGATAAACTCGAAAGAATTACAGAGTGAGGGAGGTCTGAGGGGTCTGGATTTCATCTAGGGTTGTCAATGGGTTAGGCCTACCCAATAGACCTGAACCAACCGAATCGATTATAACGGTTTTGGTTCTATGATTTTGTCCCAATTAATAACCTAGTCAATTTTGGTTTTTGTTTGTCCTGAATATATTTAGACCCAAAACCAATTACTTTATTAAATAAATATAATACTTTTTAATTCTTTATAATTTTTTATCACATTTTATGTTCAAAATGGTAAATTTGATAGATAATAAATAAGATAATATTAGTTAAAATGCTTAATTTATTAATATATAAATAATTCAGTATTTTTCTATAATTTTTATTAAGGTTATATTATCAAATTTTAAATTTAAATTTATTATTTAAATAAATATAGTTTTTAGTAGACCTGACTATTAATCGGGACGGTTCTGGATCTGTGACTTTGTCACAATTAATAATCAGTTCTGGAATGATTCTACCTAGACCCGACCCATTGATTGCCCTAATTTTGTCCTCACAAAATTGGTCAACACTATCCTCACGATACTTGAGCCGTGCATTGAGGCCCTCTCAGTCAAATCAAGAAAAACTAAAAAATTTGAGATCAGTGGGAAATCAAATGTGAGCATAATTAAGCTCATGTGCAAGTCTTTAAGCAATTTCCTTGCAATCTTCAATCAACGACAGACACTTCAAGGTGGTGGAATCTCATCTCTTAGCACATTGATAGTAACTAAAGAGTCATCTTCGATTGTTATTGGATCATCATGACTAGTTTATTGGCATCGAGTTCAAAGGGTTTCCCACATTTGGCCTATTTGGCCCATTTCAGCTCAGACAGGATTAGGTAGACACAACATTGTAAGCATGTTCAATGAGCATTTAGAAATTTTTTTGACGCCTGTCCCTGAAAATATCCCTAGCCTACCATTGAAAAAGATTAAAAACCACTTTTGATAGTTGTTAGAATATTTATCAAGTGCTCATTGAACGTGCTTACTATATTATTCCTACTAGATCCAGTCCCATTTTGGCTTTGATAATTTCTCCCTTGAAATTTCTCATGATACAACCATAGGCACATCTTCCATCCTCCTTTGTTGAAGTATCAAATTTAATCTTTATTTCATTTGGCCATCAATGATCATCCTTCCTATAGTCCTATACAAACATTGGAGAGCCCTAGAGCATTCCACAAATGGAATGAATATTGATACAATGGAAAAGAAAATGTAACTCGAATAAAATCTAATGGACCTGTTGAAAAACAAAGCTTTAGTTTTTTTATTCACATTTAATTGATAAAGTAATTTGTCTATCTTCCATTGGATTCATAGATCCCTTCCTCATCATGGCTGCAAACTCATCGTAATTGATTTTCCCATCCTGCATGGTTTAATTCATGTTCATGAAGTTTAAATATTGCTTAAACATATTAGACAGAAAAAATTTTGAATTAAAGAAATGGCACTCACTTTATCTGTGTCCACATCATTAATTATTTCATCTATAGTAGATTCATCTCCCATTCCATATTCAGTCAGTGCTTGTTTCAATTCATCTTTTGTGATAAACCTGGTAAGAACAAAATTAAAACAGGTTAAATAAATACTTCTTGATATATCGTTCTTAGATGTTAACATACTGAGTACTGACTCAAAACTTTTGGCAACAATATTGATCAAGAAATCAATGTTTCATAAAAATCAGATAAACTTGGATAGAGCCCATTTAAGCTGGTAGGTGTACGAAATAAAAATTATAGTTTAAACAGAGCAAAATGAATGCAGACACTGGACTGCTTTGATCAATCTAGAGATGACTAGGACACAAAAGAAGCTTGTCAAAAAAAATTGTTTAACAGTCATCTTGAGAAATCTACCCGTAGCTAGAATACCTAACCATCTTTCAGTAGATGCCCATAAAAATAATTGACTCAATCATTTGGATTCTGAATTAGGTACCATTACTTGGTGAAATGGTAAAATCTCGGAGTAAAAAGTATTAGAATATAGCTTCAAGTTTGAGAGCAGCCACTTTGTGATAAAAATTCCAGAGTTAGGTCCAATATACAGTCCACTCCTTCCAAGATCCTGGATAGCTGCATTGCTGCATTGCTGCAACCAGGCATTGAGTAATGATCTTATTAGGGGTTCTCAGTTTCTAGTTCAAATTCTGGTTTTCCCAGCCAAATCGGTTGACATTTTTCTCACCTTTCAACTGATGTTTGAAAAATTATCAAGTATTTTACTGGGTCATCTGAGTCAAACGGATGACCTTCTGAATCAGGTGTGAGTCTTATGGCTTGAATAACTTCAACCCAGGATTGGTATCACACTTAACATTCTGTCAAAGTAAGGGCCATACATCCACAACTCCACCAATTATATTATCATATCCTATAAGCATCCAGTCAATAAGCTACTTTTCACAAGGGAAAGGTCCAACAGGAAAGTCCAATAGCCAGGCAATATGATCATATAATACATATATATGTATGTATACATATACTGTTTATATAATTTCTGTGTCAAATAGAAATGCTTCCAAATTTAGGCATCTCCTTTTTTTTCCACATGTGACTTATCTAGGATTCCAACTCAATAGCATTGTAGCTAACCAGCAATTACTTTCATTTATGTTGCATAAAGAATCTCGGGTCTGCACAAGAAAGTAAATACTAACCCACTCCCATCCTTGTCAAAATGCTCAAAAGCCTTGTATAAATGTTCTTCTTTCTCTAGCCTATGCCGATGCATTGTAGCAGCAATGAATTCAATGTAATCAATGGTCCCATTCCCATCAACATCAGCCTGAGAGAAAAAAAGGCTTGAATGTTAAACATATCACATCACAATACTAAAAAGATGCCAACAACATAGTCATAAAGTATCTTACAGCTTCCATCAACTGCTTGATTTCAGATTCACTAATCTTGGATCCCAGATTATGCAAGCCGGTCTTCAATTCTTCAAAAGTAATTGCACCACTGTGATCAGTGTCCAAGTTGTAGAACATTTGTTGCAACCCCTTCATTTCTTCTTCCGAAAGATTTTCTGCTATTACCTTAGATAATCCCAAAAGACACATTTAATTTTTTTTAAACATTTAGAATGTTATTATATAGTTATGATTACCAGAAACCAACATGGGCTATCAACTGACTAGTTGCCCACCAGGTCACCCTAGAAAAAGGCAGAACCCATTCAGCCAATATTCCTTTTCCATAAGGGGGAAATTCATCCTTATTGTGCTTTCTTATGCTAGAATTATCAACAAAACTACAGATTATAGACTGCAAGATGAAGTTATATGCAGGTTTGGCCATGGAGCTTCTGTGGATGGGACTCGCATGGCTGGTCCATAGGGTGATAGGGTCCCTTATCAGATGGACAGTTTAAATCTGTCTTGTCATGTTATAAAGCCTCTGCCGTGTGGACTTTGAAGGCTGAAGAAAAGGAACATAATATCTTTTCCCAAAACATTTTACTGGAACTGGAAAGTGGGAAATTTTGGAAATTTTGGAAAATTGCAAATTGCAAATTTTGGAAAACAAGAAATGGGTACAACTGAATGCTGGTTCCTGTATATCTGAATATGGCTTTAGAAAAATAGATGCAAATAACCTGCAATAACTGGCTAACCTTTAGAGTATGCATATAACCTGCAACTAGTCACTAACCTTTAGAGCCAGCTTCTTTAGTTTGTTCATTGCTCTGAATTGCTTCATCCTGGTTAGGACAGCACTATCAAGAGGTTTATGAGATGCTTCACCATATTCTTTCAGCCACGGATGTTCTGTGTTGTAGACCATCATACCAATTACATTAATGAATCCATAACTTCTATCTGTTAGTAGTAAGTGTACCATGTATTCTATTAGACTAGTTTTGACCAGTCATGCTCTCATCTGCTTGAATGAGCCAATGGCCCAAAATTCAGAAATAATACTATTTGGATAAAAATGATTGTTTAATAAATGCAAACACATTTTTCTGTAGTGATAATCATATATGAATGGATCATCCTATTGCTATGGTTTTTGGGCTCTGACCTATCCAGAAAATAACCCAACCATTGAAGGGAGACGGAGAACTACTATTGTCCCCTTTATATCAGAAATTAACATGAAATTCTTTACTCACCAAGAGCCTGGGCAGCGGTAATCCGTTTTTTGGGATCTTGTGTTAACATCTTCTTAATAAGATCCCTTGCAGCATCTGATATAGAAGGCCATGGTGCACGTTTGAAGTCAATGTAACCTTCTAAGATGGCGTCAAATATGCCTTTATTAGTCTCTGAAACAAATTGAATCCTACTGGCGTCAAACCTTAGAAGGATGGTCTGTTTAAGCTTAGTACAACTATTAATTTCAGAAATAAGAAATACAAAAGTGAATACATGGCTCATACTATGTAGGATGGCATATTGAATGCCTGCATGTGCATTGTCACATATACCTCATTGACTGTTATCACGGTCTATTGATGGATTTCTTGAATTTGGTAACTTCAAAAGTTATATATTTCTCAGAAAATAAAAGTAATTGAAACAAAACATTCTTACCAGCCCAAAATGGGAGAGAACCACTTAGAAGAATGTATAATATGACCCCTGCACTCCAGACATCTATTTCCTTCCCATAATTTCGGTGCAAAACCTCTGGAGCCACATAGTAAGGACTTCCTACAAAATTGTGGTAAAATTTTCCTGGAGAATCATTGTCAATGCATGAATTCAGTAGGAGAATCCAATGATTACCATATATACATAACAAACAGAACAAAATAGTATAATCATGGATTTATGGTGCAAATTTCAAGTATTGGCAGAGGTCAAGGATTCAAGTCTTGCTAACCATCATATGCTTACACCAGTGGTGCTTGAGAGACACACTATACTTTGCAGCCTTACCTATTATGGATTTGGGTTTCCATATATAGTGCAAAAGGTCATTTTGAGTCTTCCAAGAGAAGACTTAGCAAAACTACTACTACTACTACAAAAAAGAAAAGGGGATGGATTACAGTTCCGTCAATAGCAAGCTCCAATCTGGGTTCCAACAAATATATGATCATTTCAAGTCACTCTTTATCCTTCCATTGCCTGTTGATTTTTACTTGCAGAACCTGTTTTTGGAGTGATTGCGATCAAGCTATTGTTTCCTTTGAATACTATTGAGTTCCAAAGTTTTTCCACAAGATAGCTGAATACTCAATGCACTTGTTGTTAATTTCTCAGTTTGTTTAACTATTTTAGTATTTTCTTTAACAGATATCAGCACTTTATTTCTCCCTTAAAGAAAAAGCTTAGGACCTTACCAATGAAAATGGTCAAATGAGGGGTGTTGTTAAACCATTGTTCAATGATGATTTTCACAAGAAGTCGAGAACTATGTAAGGGTCATTAGCACCTCAGAACTAGTTAAAATCTGTGCTCCCTCCCTCCCCCAATGGTTGAACATGAAATAATTTAATTCCATACACAGGAATAGAACCATTGATGCCACCATAGGACTCCAAGAATGGATTATTACTGTCTTCCTACCTATCTCAAGCATGAATACTTCTCAGAAACATGATATCAATGGCCTTCCTTAGTGAAATATGTGTATGCTTCATGTGCATACACATATACAGGCAAATTCTCTACACTGAAACATCTTTCATGGTACTGATACACAGACATGCTTTCTGTATCATATATATGCTCATGTATCTATTTACTTTTGCTTGCTCGCATGCATATATGTATATTATATAGGGAAAATTGCAAATTAGTACCCTGTACTTTGGGCCTAGTCTCACTTTGGTCCCCAAACTTCAAAACGTACCAATCCAGTACCTAAACTTCCAAAACGTGCCAATTTAGTACCTACTGTTAACCAGCTGTTAAGTGGCATGTGAAAGGATGCAAATGTCCTTCGGGTGTTATCTAATTTTCTTTATCTAAACAGTTAATGAGCAAAAGCTTTGGGTTTAATCCAATCTGTTTGTTGAAGAGAAAAGAACCCTAACTTTTAACATTTAAAAGAAAATAGTAAAATGGTCTAAAAAATATTACAAAGGGTAGCTTTGCCATTTTAAAAATATTTAAGCCGCACACAATGTCACATGATACACATAACTGACGGATGGTTAATGGTAGGTACTAAGTTGGCACGTTTTGGAAGTTAGGTACTGGATTGGTATGTTTTGAAGTTCGGGGACCAAAGTGAGACTAGACCCAAAGAACAGGGTACTAATATACAATTTTCCCTACTATATAGTTTTCTCCTGAAGTTGTCTACAAATCCTATATTTGTACTTTGCACTCGTCATATCCATGTTCAGCAACTCACTGCTATGATCTGAAGAATGATGATCTGATCAGACTCCAATAACTAGATTCTGTGTTGATCTACCCAAGCACTAGGATTTTTGTTTGAAGCTAATTAGGTAAATTTCATTCATCAATGTTCAGATTACAATGGCAGGCAATACAATCAGCAAGAGTAAAATAAAAAACAAAACAACTATAGAAAACAGAATAAACTTGCTAAGCCAAAGAGGTAAGCATGAGCACCGGGAGAGAACAGTTCAAGAATTCTAGTTCTCGAGAATCCAAGCACTAGGATAGTAAATGTTGATTTTCTTCAGTTTTGTGCTGCATTCTTCTAGGATATTGACTGTTCTTTTTTTTCCCCAGTTTGCCATGTCATTTATCTATACCAACTTGACCCACCCAGGAAACTCACAGTAAGAAAATACCAGCAATCTTATTTGACAGCGAGTTTCTATGTCGTTTGGACTCACAACGGGGTTATTCTGTTGAGACAACTCTCTCTTTGATTCCATTGTTGCTTTAATGAAAAAGAAAAGAAGACCCGACCTTGAAAAATCATTTAAAGGAATAAAAGAAAACCCAGTCTAACTGGGTAATAATTTTCTTCTCATTAATTCATAGTAAAAGTGCTAAATTCAATCAAAGAACAAACGATCAATATATAGTAGCACGTCCATCGAATGCATAATTTAGAAAATCAAATTCGGAAAGAGAAAACAAAGAAATTGCAACTAACCTTCCTCTATGAAGACAGCAAGCCCAAAATCAGTGGCTTTGATCGGAGAATTCTCATCCCGGCTAACCAGCAAGAAATTTTCCGGCTTCAAATCCCTATGTATCACCCCCATGAAGTGACAGACATGAACCACATTAACAATTTGCCGGCCTATCGCGGCCGCTTCGCTCTCTGAATAACTTCCCTTCGCGACAATTCGATCAAACAGCTCTCCACCCGAGCACAGCTCCATTACCAAATGCACATTCTGCTTGTCCTCATAAGCCCCCTTGAACTCCACAATATTGGGCTGCCCCGTAAGGTGCTGAAGAACAGCTACCTCTCTCTGAACATCCTCAATATCTTTCTTGCTCACAAGCTTCCGCTTCGATATCGACTTGCAAGCATACTTCCTTCTCGTCGCTTTCTCAGTGCAAAGGTAGGTAATCCCAAACTGGCCCCTGCCCAGTTCATTATCGAGATCATAAGTCGAGCTTAAATCACAAGTAAGTTTTCCTAGAACTGTTCCAATCTGGGAAGAAGGGGCTTTGGATAGTGAAGTTGAAAAAGAATCTGGTTTTGACGTTTTTGGGTTCCCCTGTTCTTGGTGTTTATTGTTCTGTTGTTCTTGAGGCTTCTTGGGTTGCTGTTGGTAATGTCGAGAAGGAGACCCCTCTGGAGATGAAGATATTGGAATTTCATGCATTTTGGAGAAACAGTGACCCATTTCGGGAGATAAGTTGTGGCTTGTCTGTCCTTCTGTGAATTCTCGGTCGATTGGTGTTGGATTTGTTCCCAGAGTACCATTAAAGGTTTTGGAGTTGCAGTCATGCTTTTCTAATTTTCTTTGTGCTTTGCTTTCTTGGTTGGATTATTCTGGTTATGGTTCAATCACCTTTTCTTTGCTCCAACAAAGTTCTTTGCTTCGAAAATGGAGATGGATAGACGGAAGAAGGGAGAAATGTCGCCGTGTCCATTTCTATTTCGCGATTCGAAGCGTGTAAAGTAGAATACCATTTTGTTTATCTCTACAATAAAAGCTCAATTTTTTAATGTTTTTATTTTTGTATTTCAATAGGCAGTTTGGATGCCACGAGAAATGGAATAATTTCATTTGTATAGCATTTGAATCCACAACCTATCCTAATTTGAAATGGATGCATTTTCCAATTATAGATATAGAATAAAAAGGGCAAATGCATATTCCTTTCTTAAAAGTTCTGAAATAATCTCATTTCACTGTTTTATTAGCAGCCAGGAATAGCATCTTTTGAGATGCTGGCTACCAACTAGCCCATACTTCTGGGTTCTGAAATCTGAACCACCAGGAGAATACCAAAACACAGACTAATTGAAATTGCTACAATTATCATATTGGTTGATTTAACTGCAAGCAGATTGGCAAACACATCTCCTCAGTATCTTGCTTTCTTTCATCAGCAATGAATTCACCAGACAGATATATGGACCAAACTTTATCTGATAGATTGTAAAGTTTCTCTGCTTTTATATTTAAGTAGCAAAACCTTGGAGTATTTGATTTTGTATAACTCTCGCTTAGTGAATACAATTCAAGCTTTTAGACACATTAATTTATCAATTGTCTCAACCATGGAGTAAATCTCCACTGATTGGCGATGTGATCTGTCCCCAGCTAAAAACTCATGAACAATACCATCAACCTCAATTAAGCTACTCCCTGAGGACTTCTTGATCCCCATCTCCAACATCATCTTCCTCACATTGACTGCTTCTTCATGTTTTCCAGCCATGACATAAAGATTGGACAGTGCTATGAGGCGACTCTCTTCATAGGATTCTTGCTCCAGAAGGCGGGCGGCCGCAATTAAACCTAGTTCATAATTCTGATGAGTCAGGCAACCACCCAGTAGAGCCCCCCATACATTGCTATCAGGTTCAACAGGCATCTTCTCTATGATCATGTTTGCTTCTTTTAGAAGCCCTTTCCTGGAGAGAACATCCACCAGACAGCCATAGTGCTCGGTCCTGGGTTGAAGACCATACACTCGACTCATGCAAGCAAAACATGTATAAGCATGATCGACCAAACCACCATGACTGCATGCCATTAACACGGCCATAAAAGTAATCCTGTCAGGCATCAAACCCATCTTCATCATCTGGCAGAAGAGCGACAGAGCACTCATTCCACATCCATGGATGGCAAAACTAGTCAACATGGCATTCCACGATTCCAGGTTCCCGGAGCCTTTCTCAAGAAAAACTTCATAAGCAATATCCAATCTACCACATTTTCCATACATATGCACAAGGGAGTTAACTAATGTTGAAGTGAACCTAATATCATGGTACCTTTCGATGTAAGCATGAATCCATTCTCCAAGAGACAGACAACCCAACTGAGAACATGCTGAGAGGGCACTTACTAGTGTAACGTCAGTAGGTCTAAGCTTTGCAATTTGCATTTCTCGGAATAGTTGGATGGCATCCTTGGGCATTCCACTTTGAGAATAACCGCTTAACATAGCATTCCAAGCAACAACGTCTCTGTTAGGCATTTCACCGAACAAACGGCGGGCTGCGTCGATATCACCATTCTGGACATAACCCACCAACATGGTGGTCCACAGCGCTGTGTCTTTGTCATTGACCTTATCGAACACATGTTCTGCAGAGGTTACATGACCAAAGGCAGAATAGAAGCAAACGAGAGTACTGGCGAGGAAACGATCGGCATGGAAACCAGTTTTTATGATCTGGGCATGGATGGCTATGCCTTGTTGGAAGGCTGGGAGAAGAGTGCATGCTTTAATGGCGGAAATGAGGATGGTTTTATTGGGGGAACGTCCTAGAGTTAAGGTTTGATGATAGAGAATAAGAGCATCGATTGAACTCGGAGGAGCCTTGGAGGGTGAGTCAGTAGGGACGCGTTGAGGTGGTTTTGTGCTTAGAATCGATGTGACACGGAGGCTAACTGTCATTTGGTTTTTGCCGGAAACCAACCAACTTTGGAGTTAGAATTCTAGCCGCTGTATATCCACTCCAGGAAGTAGGAAGGATTTGCCTGTAATCATGGACTGGGCCCAGGCTGGGCTTAAGATAAGGGGCTTAACTTAGGACAACCATCGCCCTAAACCTTACATGGGCCCAACCCTTCTAGGCGTATAATTTTGGGCAGGGTCAGGTAGGGGTGTCAATAGACCGGTTTGGATTGGATCTCATCCAAAATCAAAATCAATTTGGATGAATTGGACGGACCAATAAGACATAATGGTCCAAAGTATTTATTGGATTGGACTGGATCTGGTTCATCCATAATGGATTGGGTCAGATTGAATCCAATATTCCATCCATTGGATAGAAGATAAGAATATAGGTGTTAATGGATCATGTTTGGATTGAAACAAATCTAAATTAAAACTAATTGAACAGATCGGATGGTCCAGACATTGAATTGGATCAATACAAAGTATTCATCGAATTGGATTGGACCTGATTCATTTGTAATAGACTCATATTGGACCGGATGGATTAGACCAAATCCTGTCCAATTGACACCCCTAGGGCTAGGCTTAAGAGTACTGGACCTAGGTCCAACTCAAAAATTTTCAGGCCTGCTGTGGGCCCAGCCCAGAATGGACTTGGACATAAAACCTAAGTCCAAACCTGAAAATTTTCAGGCCAGGCTAGAGGAATGGTCACATCTATTTAGCACTAGAATTTGGTAAACCCTAATTGGGTTGTTTTCGTGGGCATAATGGAAAGTTTAGGTGGGCTGGTGCCTGGTAGGTTGAGTTTCTATTTTTTGTACCTTGTAGTGCAAACCTGAAAATTTGCAGGCTAGACTAAGAATGATCACTTCTATTTAGCACTAGAATATGGTAAACCCTTGGGGTTGTTTTTTATGAGTATAATGGAAAGTTTAGGTGGGCTTGTAGGTTGAATTTCCATTTTCTGTACTTTGTAGTGCAAAGTGCACTTCTTACATATGTTTTTGCTATAGGGAATGCAAATTTGATTCCAAATCCGAACTTCTAATCAGGTTGGTTTGCAGTTTGGCCTTGAACAATCCAGACCCATCGGTAGAGGTAGGGGTGCAAGTTTGGTACCTGATTTGAAGTATTTACACTGCAATGGGTCTGGACTTTTGGGCTGGGCCCATTTAAAATTTAACAAAATCCCAACCCGAATCCGCCCAATTTGCACCCCTACCCATAAAAGTAGGAAAATTGTTTGGCCTTGATAAGAAGTGTAAGATCGTGATTCTGTTTCACTGGTTTTATAGATACAGAGCCAGGCACAACGGAACTTATTGGAACAAACTGAATGGTGGTACAGGGAATCCTAAACAAAGGAAGTAGTCGCATGAATTCCTTGTAATCTTAGAGAATTTGGAGCCAATAAGTTCTATTTTTTTTCCCTATAATATAATTATAATTATGCCTTGTTCTTTTGTAACAATGCAGCTTATTTGGGTAACTTCACTAATCCATGTTTTTTTGATTTTTAAGATTCTCAAGTAAATAATAAAATGATATTTCTACCCACAAAAAGTAACTATTAAAATGGGTAAAATGGTCCCATCATGTTTGTAAAAATTTCTCCTAGCTCGGAAAGTTACTTATTCACTTGGGAAATAGGTAACTTTTACCTAGGAAAGTAAAGGTAATTTTACTGTGGACTCATTACTTAATGCAAAAAGAATATAGGAAAGTTAGTCAATGGGAAAAAATTACCCATTTACCAACTTTCTCATACATATTTACCTGCAAAAGAACGGGGCCTTAAGAGTTGAAACATCATACAAAATTCAAGTATAAAAATCCTCCAGGCTCAATTTGGTTACAGTGCAAACTTGGTTTTTATTAAAACGTAACTGCATGGAGTGCAAATAAGCTATTTGTTTGGTTACAGTGCAAATAAGCTATTAAACGTAAATGCATGGAGTCACCACCTTATATGCCAAAGAATGAAGGTTGTAGGAGGGCTATTTGTTTGAGAGTGAGGAAGAAAGCTAGATGATGTGCTCTCCACTTTATATGAGAGAGAATTGTAGCAAGAAGAAAGTGATCGATGCAAATTTTGCATCAGCATTTAAGATGCAAAATTTTCTCTACCAATGCAAATGAGGCAAGTAAAAAGTTTTTCATCAGATAAGAATGCAAATTATACTTACAACAAACGGATGCAAAAACTGAACCAAGTGCAAAGTTTCTATCTGGTTTGGGTTTGCATTGCAAACAAATAGGGACATACAGACACATGAGAAAAGTTGATAACAGGACACAACAAAGAAATTAGAAAATGCTTATTTAAGGGGGTGTTTGGCAACATGGTTTATTTTGTTTTTGAAAACAGAAAACCAACCATGTTGTATGTCAAACACCCCTTAAGTCTTTCAAGCAATGAAATTATGAAAAACATGTCAATTTAAAGGAATAAGAAAAAATAATAGAAAGAGAGACAAGAGATGGGGTTTTAATATTTTAATTCAAGACAAAATATGCATGGTTTCTAAGTAAGATATTGTATAATTGTAAATAATGGGATGGAAGGAGACAGTTTAACTACTGAGAAAGAAAAGGAGTACCTAAATAGGAACCAATATTAGACAATGCCTTTGTTAGCAATCTCTTGTTTCAATCTGGAAAATCAATATAACTAATAATCTCAAATATTCAGATACCCGCTATAGATTGTCATCAAACAAAAAGAATGACGAAAATTATCATTAATTTTATGTTAAAATAAAACAAAGTCTAATAGAAAAAGAGATTTTCACATGATTGCATATATACATATATACATATTTTGGTAGTTTAGTAGTTTGTTTTTTCATTAGTCAATGTTTGGCCATTTTCAAACTCAAACCAGCATTCCCATTCCTGTCAGCCCGATGTTTTCCTTTATTTGTAGGTTAGATAAATGTATGGTTTTAAAAAATGACCTGGAAACGAAACCATTATAGCCACCGGTTTTTGGGTTGACGGTTTGATTGTCTGGTTCAAATGGACAATTTATTCTGACAAAAAAATTAAAAATAAAAACGGCAAAAAGCTGTTGAATGGATCGACAGGTCAATGGTTGTTCGATTGCCCGAGTCAATGGATTGTTAACTAATTCAACGATTTTTGGCTAGAGACCGAATTTGGGGTAAAACAGAACCGGTTGTCTGGACGGTTCCTAGGTCAAACGGTCCAACCGTGGTTCAAAAACCATGAATAAATGTATTAATTAAATTCAAATTCTTACTCGGAGTCTATGATTCGAATATATATGATGCTCTTAACCAGATCAAGATTTTGTTTAAGTGATGATGATCTTGATAATTTTTTACTTATAATAGCCATCAGTCATCACTTGATGATACTCACCACCAAAGCCTTCATTTCACTAATTTTAAATATTTTTTTTTAGTTCAGGCCTCTATTAATTATAGTAATGGTTATATGGCGAGCTATGTATAAAGCCTTAAACTCCATTTTAATTTCATACAAATTAAATTATTGTCGCTGGAAATTAATTAATCATGGGGCAATTGCATAGTAAAATAATGTAACGAATCTACCCATGAAGGCATGCAACATGCATATCCCTGCAAATCATTCAGAACCAAAACAATTAAAGAAATATTTTCTGGGATATACTAATAAAATAATATAACTTAGAAGCAAAGATAGGAAAGGGGTATATATCTATCTGCCATAAACCTCATCTAGTCATTTCTTCTGACGTATATCACAAAATTTTAAGGGTTCATTTGGTTTGTGAAAATAAGGGTCTGAAATCACAATTGGAATGGTCTATTCAAGTTCCAACCATATGATTAAGTGGATTCAAAATTCCATTTCCGTTCAAGGTGGAATTACATTCTCCCCATCTGAGGAAATGGTCATTCCCTCCCTCTCCATTGAGAATGAGAAATTCATTCCAGTCAATCGATCAATTATAGTTCCAATTCTGTCTGAACTAAATCGGAAGAAGGAATATTAGATTTTTTCGATTGCAATTTTGATTCTGATGGGTTTCAATTTCAATTCCGATTCCCACTGTGATTCTGTGAACCAAATGAATCCTTAGTTATTGTGCCAAAGATCTGAGACTTGATACAGAGTAGATACACAAGAGATAAGGGACAAGACATAAGGAATTTTGTAGACGTGGATTCAGTGAGGACCTTCATTAATCTATGATCAAAATGTTCCTGAAGGAACAAATAACCACCCTGTATTGGTATATAATAAATTAAGTTACGTTGTCGTTACTACTGGAGCAGGTAGGTCTCGTCTCGAGTGGTGAATTAGGTGGCTGAATGGGTAAACTGAAACGATGGACAGGATTTAGGCTCAAAATATAATAAACCTACTCCATGAGACTATGACAAATTTGGGGTCAATTCACCACCGCCCCCATCACTCATGCATGCTCTCTGCTCTCACAAGAAAGAGAAAAGAAATGGAAATTAAGAAAAAAACAAGAATATAAGATGGTGCGTTGAAACTTGAAGTTAATTAACCTGATTTTTGTAAAATGGGGAAGTTGAATAAATTAAATTACTTAAATTTTCTATGGGTTACTTGTGCAAACCCTATCAATATTAGAAGAAGATTGGCTTTAAATATTAATGGAAGTTGTCGAAATTAGATCAGGTTGAGTACAGGTTGGCTCTATGCTCTCTCGAACCTGATCATGACGAAACAGTATGCAGTTATCTGATTTTAAACGGAAATTAGAATGAAAATTGAAATTATCAAAAATGAGATTTCATTTTCAAGGAAGAGGTAAGAAATGGCCGTTCCTTCAAATGAGAAAATGTTATTCCAGTAGAAATGAGAATGAAATTCTGGTTCCGTTCAATCAAACAGTTAGAATCGGTTCGATTCTAATTTCAGACCCCTATTCCCATGAACCAAATAGGACCTTAGTTTTTCTAGGATCAATTTGGTCCTTGGTACTGGTTTGTTTGTTGTGCAATTTTATT